GAAAGAGAGAGAAAGTTGGTAAATTTGCTTAAAGACTGAAGTTTTAGCTGCTCATAGAATCAGAATGAGAGAGATTTTCATTGTTTTTGGACTAATCAGCTTGTGTCCGTCGCACCTTCATCAAAAAGAAAAAAGAACCAAAAAAAAAAAAAAGGAAAAATAATTTTTTATCTGAAAAAGGAAAAAATATTTCTTCAAAATGCGTGGGGCGAGTGAGAAGAGAACTAAACAATTTTTTTTTATTTTTTATTTTATTTTTGATAAAAGAAGAGACAACACTTGGGATCTGGAATCTGCGGAGAGGAAGAATATTCGGAAAAAGTATACGACGTCGTCGTTGCCGGGTCACTAACTTTTTATTTCTCTATTTATTTATTTATAGAGAACGACCTAGTTCATTTTACTGATTTAAGTTTTCAATTTTAAGTTTTTACAGTAAAAAATTCTCAAAAAATATTACATCTAATTTTTTTTGCTATAGTGAAAAATTCTTAAAAAATATCACATCTCAGCTCGAATTGAAAAGTCGAATTGACGAAGTGAACGAGACCTAAGGATTTGTGTTTAATTTCCTTTAAGAAAAATTTTAAAAAATCGCTTGCCCAATTCAATAAAATATAGGAATCAGTAATGTATAATTGTCATTATTAATTCAGAAATAGTAGAAAATAGGCCAATATAAAAAGTTTAAGAAAGTATATAGGTCAATTTTTAGTTATAGAAATTAATAGGCCATAATTTGTCAAGTTATGGTTCATAACCAGATAAGTTATGGACAAACTTGTCAAGTTATGGTTCATAACCAGACAAATTATGAACAAAAATAATAATTTAACCTATTTATTAACTTATGTAAATTATTAACCTATTAATTTTAATTTATCTCAAATCTTAACTTATTTTTCTTTTTCTCCCTTATTAATTCTTTACCCAAGGCGATTAGCAAAAAGTTCTGTACCCAAGGTGTTAAAAAGGTGACGGCAAATGTAAACATTCGAATTTTTTGTTCATGTACCAATCTGGTAATTTTTTTATTTTTTATTTTTACTTATTGGTGAAATATGTATAAATATAAACAGAAGATTTTTGACCAATCCCCTCCACGGCAAGTGAAGGACATGGGATTCATTGGAAAATAACATTTTCACTTCCATTGTCATGCGGACATTGGAAATTGAATATTGCTTTGACATTGGAAATTGAATATTGCTTTCTTTCTTTCTTTTTTTCTGGTAATGTACGAAACTGCATCAAATAAGATTCAGTCGTGGATAACATGCATAGTTGTTTGTCTAGACGTTAATTTACTTGTGGAACAATACATATTCTTCCTGCTTTGTGCCAAGACAGTTTTCCCAAACCCCCATAATATGAACTCAAAATATCCTTTAGCACCCGTTTGATTTATGTTGATTCTGATTTATTAACGGAAACTTTATAAGAAAATTAATAGAGAGAATTTTTTTGATTCAAATTTGTTGTGATTTATTAACGGAAACTTTATAAGAAAATTAATAGAACCAGAATCAAGAATTTAAATACATCAACACATTCTAATCTATGTTCAGCATCATCAACAGAACAACCCTGAAACTTCTACTGCAAGAAAAGTGCAAATGCTCCTAAAGAATAGATACTACTGAAATGGCCCACGGACTTTCTCATAAAATAGATAAATAAATAAAGAAGAAGAAGAAGCAAGAAATGGCCCGCGGAAATTAATCACATAGCTATATCTGCATTTCAAATAAGTAGAATACCCAAGTAAATCACCATCTTTTGCATAATTTTTACATGTCTCCGGAATTACATACAAGGATGTTATGTAAATGCCGACATCATTCTTGAGGTGGGGAAGGATGCACGCGTTAAGCAATGATGAGCATGACAGAACTATTTGTGTTTGAAACCTTTCATCCCATGTTGCCCAGACTCTTTTGAGATACATTTTGATGATTTGTTTTATTTATCATGATAAGAAGCAGAACAAGAGAAGCCCCATTTCATGACAAACTAAATTTTTGCAAACGGTTGAACCGGCTGTTTTCTCGGAAATTGCAGCACGGTACTTAGTAAATGGGTACTCTCTCTCCATGAACGCTGTCAAAATGTGAGTAATGAGCTCATTACCTAACACATTCAATCTGCAATGTCAGATCCTTGATTCCAGCTTTACGTAGCATATCTGACGCCTGCATCTTCGTAGAAGCCTTGTTGGTTTCATTTGTGACACGAAGACGGAGTGTTCCCACCACATCTGTGTTAGTGAAACTCCATACATGCAAGTTTTGGATGCCAGAAACACCTCTCATCTTCCTAATCTCAATCAAAGCCCTTCTCAAATCCACCTCATGTGCCCTTGGAATTCTTTGGAGCAAAATTTCGGCAGAGTTCCTGAGTAACGGGAGAACTGAAGATACAATTAAGACAGAGATACATATTGAGCAGGCAGGATCCGCAACAAGCCATCCTTTATACTTAATCAGGAGCGTTGATATAACAACCCCAACACTTCCCATGGTGTCAGCCAGAACATGCAAGAATATTCCTTCCATGTTGTGGTCGATGTGGTGATGATGATGCTTATTTGATTCTTCTACTTGAACTTGAGATTCTGCTACCTTGCGGACTTCAAAGGAATGAGTATGACTGCCATGACCATGGCACTCATGTTGAGAGGCATGGTCATGGTGATCATGAAGGTTGACATGGCTATGGTTATCATGCAGTTCACCGTGGCCACTGTGGTCACAATGATGGTGCTGATGATGCTTGTTGCTCTGCAACTGATCGTGTTGGCATGAATGATCATGGTGGTGGGCGTGGTTAGGAGATTCGTGTTGGTGGGCATGGCCGTGATGGTGATCATGACACTTATTATTCCCCAAATGGTTATCATCTTTACAACTGCCAGAGCTGCTGTGGTTAGTGCATTGACTATGTCCATGTTTTTCATCATGGTGAGAACATAATTTTTCATGGCTTTCATGAGAAACAAAGATATGCTCCTCATGCTTTCCACAACCTTTGTGATCATGTCCAACATGGTCGTGCAAGTGTTGGTGATGGTGAGTGTGGTCGTGAGAGTGGGAATGTGAATGCGAGCATGATCCAGATCCACCATGTGCATGGTGATGCTCCTCATGAAAGAAGATTAACCCAACAATATTAACCACAAGTCCTCCAATCGAAACAATTAACAGACTATTGGTTGATATCTCTTGAGGATCCAAAATCCTTTCTAAGGACTCCAACACTATCAGTGATCCCACCAGAACCAAAAAAACCGCATTAACATACCCAGAGAGAACCTCAAACCTTCCACGGCCGTAATTGAACTGATTATTCGCAGGCAGCCTTGAAATATATGAAGCATACAGCCCAATTGCTAGAGCAGCACAATCAAACAACATGTGACAAGCATCCGATATCAACCCCAGACTATTGCTCGTAAATCCAGCAACAAATTCCACAACCATGTACCCGGTGTTGATCATAAGGAAAAGTGCAATCTTCCGTGATTTCCTCTCACTCAAAATGTGCCTAATAGGCTTCATAACAAGTGAACTGAACGATTCTGAAGACTCCATTCCCAACTCCAGATAATTCGAGTAAAACGGATCTAATTCCCGAACAGCAATATATAACAGCAAGCCACAGAGCAATAGTCCCCAAAGTGATAGCTCAGGAAAATAGAACAACTCCAAAACAAGAGTACAAACAAAAGTCACCAAAAACTCCCTCCGAAAATCCTTAGAACTAACCAACTTCTCATCACTATAGTTTTCGGCCAAGAGGACCCCAAAAACAACAGTGTTGGCAAGAGGCCAAACCAAATTCCCAATTGAAACGTTATCTGCCTCAGATTCAAACATGAACACGCTAACAACAGCAGGAAAGAAAAGCAAAACAGTTGTGAAGAACAACGAAATCAAACGAACTCGTTTCATTCCTAAATGCCTAATTGCCCTCCAATTCATTGAAACACGCTCATAGCAACTCAGAAACCCAGAGAGAAACGGAAGCAACATTGGCCAAATTCTCAAACAATTCCCTTTCAGAAACGTAAAGAATCCAACTTTATCAACAGACTTGGCCGAAAAAGGAAAGCACTCGATACGATCCCAACTAATAGACAGTAAAAACAATCCAAGAAACAAAGCAACAAACCCACGAACCTTGAATCCGTACCGATCGGCGAAATTCCCATTCTTTCCCTCGGAGACGAACCTGGCGGCGACGTTTCCGGTCAATTCGGCGAGAATCATCGCCGCCGTGCCGCAGTACCGGAGGGCCTGGAACCGGAGAAGGAAGACGACGGCGAGGAGAATCGATCTGGCGAGCAAGGCTCTGTGCTCGGATTGAGAAATCGAGGAGAGAGAGAAGAGTTTCTGGCTAGGCCTCTGGTGGAAAGGGGCTTTAGCGGAAGAGGAAGAAGTGGTGAAGAGAGAGAAAGAGTAGGTGAGGAGGAAGGAGAGGAGAGAGACGAGGAAGGAGAAGGGGAAGAGAGAGAAGGAAGGGGAGGAACGGAGGAAGGGAAGGAGGGAGTAGAGGGAGCGGAGAGAGAGGAGGAGGAGAAAGAGGAAGGAAAGGGAAGAAGACTTGCCATTGTTGGAAGGTTTAGAGCTGAGAGAAGAAGAGCGACGGTGCTTCGATGGAGTCGCCGAGGCCGTTGGAGTCGAGGCTGCGAAGGGGAAAACCGGGTAAGCTCGGGAAGTGGTGGGAGTGGTAACGAAGGTGGTCGGAGCGGTGGGCCCAGCGGCGCGTGGAGGGACCTTGATGCGGTGAGGGCGGTGGTGGTGGTGATGGTGGTGATCATGATCGTGATCGTGATCGGCCATGGCTGAGATTCGTCTTTAGAGTGTTAGACCCGAAAAGTGGATCCATTTTGTACTAGTTCTAGCCCGTAGAAGTTCTCATTTTTTTATTTTCTTTTTGATTTTTTTTTTGATTTTTTGGAGTCATTAATGGCCCCCAATTACGACCCTTTGACATTTTCCACCTACGGAGAAAAGAGAGCCTATGAATTGAAATACTTTTCGTTTCCTTAATTAAAACCCAAATTATTTTCTTAAATGCCTATGGATAAAACCAATCGTGTTATATAATGTTGTTCAATGGACTCATATAAAAAAGCACGTTAAGGTTAAATAAAGAACATTTTGTATTTTTAAATGAGGTGACATAATATAATTGATTATATATCTCTATACTATAAATATCAAAAACATGGAGATGTTATATTTGACACAATTAGTTACTTTATTTTCAACAAAAATAATTAATGTTATTTTAAAATTTTTATCTAAAAGATTACGGGTGCGTTTGAAATTAGCTTTAAATGATTTTATTTTTAATAAAAAATAAAAATGAGATTATTTTTAGAATCATTCTGTGACAAATTCTAAAATTATGTTTGGTTAGTTTTTTAAGAGATTATTTTGAGTATAATAAAAAGTGAAATCGTGTTTATTAATTAACATATTATAATATTATTGATAAGTACTAAAAAATGAAAACAGAAAAGTGAAAACAACTTTCAACTGTTTTCTAATTTCTTCACAAAAATCATTCTCACGTTGTTTTCATTTTTGTTTTTATAATATTTGCTAAACAAACTTCGTTTTATTTGCATTTTCATTTTTTTACTTCTCGAAATACGTAAAAATCGTTTTTAAAAACGGTTCTAAACACGCACTATATTTTTCATAATTTTAAAATGTCATTGTAATTATTTTATGGTAGTAATTGTAACTTTTTCAATATTTATTTTTATGGAAAGGAAAAATTAAAAGTATTAGAATATAATCAAAATAATTTTGTAGATCCCTTTGAAAAAATAACTTTGTATATATTGTTAACAAGTCAATGACTTTTAAATGTCAGCATTTAATTATTCTTGCTAAAATAATAAATGGTATCATTTACACATTAATTTAATATTTATTTATATTCTTTAAACATTTTTCCACTTATTCGCTTATACAAATATATATAAATTTTTACTGCGACTTTTACATAAAATATAAAAGTAAGAAATACAACATAGTATATATGCAACGTAACATGTATATTTAAATAAATAATAATAGTCTAAGACTATCTCTAATATAAATACTAATGTTAATTGTATATTTGACATTAAAAATGTGATAATAATATATTTGACATATTATTTTTATTTGCGCTTTAATGCAAATGTTACTTCAAATGATAAATTTACTTTTTACCATAATCATTAAGTTTTGAAAGCTATTAAAGTAAACTTTTTATTTTTATAATCATGAAAATGTAAATATTGTAATGATTCAATAAAAAAGTAAATCTATCAACCAATAACAATTAAATGTCAAATTTATCCTATGCTTTGTGAAAAATTTTGCCAGCAAGTATACTCTATGATAAATTTACCGCAACAAATAACAGTACATCAGAGATGATTTTTTTACATTCAAGTGCCAAATTCACTATTGGCACGTAGATTACAGTATTACATCAAAGATACTCTAAGATAACTGAGTTGTTCTTTTGGAGTGTAACTTGAGTGTAGTTTTTGAGTTGAATTTGAATTATAACTTGAGTTGAAGTTAGAACTTGAATAAAGTTGAGTAAAATTGAATAAAGTTGAAACTTAAAAGAACGTGAACTTGAATAAAGTTGAAACTTGAGTTGTCTTTTTTTGAGTTTTATGGACAAAAGAACATGCCTGTTTTTCATTCTCATGTATTTTCGACATCAGTGTTATATTGAGTAAATGTGGTATCTCATTTTTTATTTTTATATACTACTATTATGACCGATAATATGGGACATAGCACGACAACACGACTCAAAATATGATACAATTTTTACAGGATTATGAATCAATTAGAAAGAACTACCTTCGAACGGGTCTTCTTTAGTGTTCCAAAAGTATGCCTAATTTATTTGGTTTCTATGTGAGATATTTAAGGTATGTGACATGGCTTTTAGGCGTGAATTGACTTTTACCACAACTGAATAAACATTCAACTTTTTTGCATGTGGTAAAAGTTAAGGGGACTAAGTGCGTGTTTAGAATCATTTTTTAAAACAGGTTTTACTTATTTTGAGAAGTAAAAGATGAAAACGAAACGACGTTTGTTTAATAAATGTTTTGAAAACAAAAATAGTGAGAATGATCTTTGTGAAAGAATTAGAAAACAGTTGAAAGTTATTTTTACTTTTTTCGTACTTATCAATAATATTATAATATATTAATTAATAAAAATGATTTTACTTTTTTATTATTCTCAAAATAATTTCTTAAAAAACCAATCAAATGTAATTTCAGAATCGGTCATAGAATAACTCTCAAAACAATATCTTTTTTACTTTTTATTAAAAATAAAATTATTTTAAAATCAATTCCAAACGCACCCTTAACACACTCAAATCTGATTAGAGTTTGATTCTTTTTCCCCTTTCACCCTCTTCTCCCTCTCCCCACGTTGTCGTTCTTTCTGACTCCCCCTCTCTTTACTTTAGCAACCACATTAATTTTTGCTACCCTCTTCTCTCTCTCTTTCCTCCTACCTTCCTGTTTGCAGTAAAAAAATATACATTGGATGATGAATCACAAATGAGCCTTAAAAAAGAGATGAGAAAATAAAATTTTGTGTTGGCCCAAATAAAAAAAAGAAAAAAAGAAAGAAGGGGGGATTAAAAATACACGTTTTAGAACGTGGAGTGATGGCAAAAAGAGTGCAGGACGTGGAGTTATGGCAAATAAGGTGCAGAACGTGGAGTAATGGCCAAAACTGTTACGGAATTCTCTTATATAAAGAAAGAAGTAAAAAAAAAAAAAA